TCCAGGAGATGATCCAAATTTTAAAATGCAAACAAAATATTTAAATAAAAATTTCACTCCACAACACACGTTGTTGCAGGGTGCCCTTTGCGACCCCCGTCGGCGGGGACACGTGCGCATACATGCTGGGGCGACGGGCGCCGTCGACGTCGGGCGCCACGGGGGCAGCAGACGCAGAATCAAACGAAGCCGCCCCGTCGGCAAAGAAGCCGCCGCCACTCTCAGATGAAGATGAGAACAACCCTTAAACGGCAATAAAGCTGCACATGTTTGTCTTCAGGCCAAATTTAGCTGCGTAATATGTTACTAATTGCCCGTGTAGGATTACCCGCCTGCTTTACGACGCAGAAAAAAACTGACTGAGAAATCATCGCGCGCCTCAATCTTCCGGCTTGACTAATGACATATGGAGCTGACTGTCGGTAGCAAAATATTATGTTGGGAATAATTTAAGATTTAAATCAAATGAAGAGAGTTGATGCGTTTTGAAAAACGGTTTGCATTTATAGAGGATAATTTGTTTTTTAAATTTATATAGAAAATGAACAATATAGAAATAATATTCTCTCAAATCTAATGTGCAGCAATAATGAGAGCTTTCTAAATTTTTCAACATCGTCATGATTTCAAAATTAATAAATGAAAACAACTTTGTAATTCCTGGAACACTCAAGTTGAAGCAGCTGATGGATTTTTTGCCCTTTTCGGCACGTTTTGTCGGCATTTAGTCAATGTTCAGGATTGAGTTTCACTCACTCAAAATAAAAGTGACGGCATTCGCGGCGCGGAAAGCCAAAGCCAAAGGAGTGCAGCGCAGGAAAGACATCACAGCACAAGCGCGCTGCTTTTTATGTGAGCTGCGAGCGCTGATGTTGTTTACGATTTGGAAAATAAAAAATGGACAGAACGTATGCGTATTACAATTTTATTAGCGATGTCAATCTACAAAGGCAGCGCCACTTCTGCGATGGGAACTGGCAACGAGCGCATAGGCCCCGAAAAATAGCGCGTGATGCGCCGCACATAGACTTTTCTTTATTGCTCTTCACACCCGCACTCCAGACAAACCATATTCATGTGTGAGAGTGACTAACGCGAGACGAGTGAGTAAGTGTTTTATTTCTGGAGACGGATTTAAAAAAAAGCACAAAGAAATGGAAGATTTTTTCGCTGATAAGGAAAAAAAAATACATTGTAAACTCTTGTTAGAGTTCATATGTGATCTTAAAAAAATGTATGTAAAAATACTTCCTTTTTGGTATAGGATAGTTGGCTTTTGGGAAAAGAAAGATAATAATATGAAATGATGCCTTTTACTATAAGCTACATAAGGATGGAAATAAATAGTTTAATTTTGAAACTATTTGTAGAAAAATAACTAAATTATAAAATTTTGTTTCAGATAAAAAACAATGATTTTTTCAAGTAAAAATTGAAGTTAATTAAGAATCATCTATTTGATAAAAAATTGTCTACTTAATTGTAATTCAGTAAATGACAACTTACTATCACCTAAAATCACATACATTTTTAGTGATATATTTCCGTTTTATTTTAAAATTACCCTTTTTTAAATGTATACTTTTTTAAATGTATATTTAAAAAAGCTTCAAAGAAAACTAAAAAACTAGACGCCTAAAATTAAAATATTTTTCACTCATTCATCAGAAGACGACAATTTTTTTTTGATTACAATTTTGTTTATAGATTTTTTTACCTTGATTTATTTTTAAAATTTAAGCAAATATTATTACCTCTTTTCAATTACCAAAATATATAAAAATTTAGGTCATAATGTAAAATTTTAACCTTAAAAATCATCTATTTTTGCTAATCGTATTACTGGCAATGTGGTTCATTATGAAAAATTTATAAAAATTTTAATCTTCATGTAAAGTTCTAAATATGAACATGATAAGTTTGTAAATGTCCAGGAAAATTAGAGATGTATTTAATATGCTTATAACTTATAATTTAAAAAAATTTAACAAGCGTACATTTCAATTTTTTTTATTTATATAATGCATCTTGTAAATACCCTGAAACTAGTCTAAAAGGTCCTTGCCAATTATTTAAAATCAACTTGTTCAGGGTCAAATGAATGTTTCACACGGGAGATTTAGAAGGCGCGGACAAAATCCAATCTAAAAGAAAATTACTTTCCACTTCCATTGCCCTCCGAAACGCAAATGGAATTTTCTAATCGTCCGCTTGCTTGGGTGATACGCGATCGCAGCAGAAGAAATAATTCCGCTGATTCTTTCGACGCCTACAGATGATTAGGAGGCGCCGATCGGCATATTTACACCGCGATTAGAGAAATGGTAACAAAGAGGCGCGAGGAGCAGAGGCAGACACGGGGATTACACAATGGGCGCGCATTTGAATGATAAATGTGACGGATATCGGTGACATCCAGGTAGCGAGAAAGAGTTGCGTGTGGCCCTCCATCATGTTTTATTCACTCGGCCTACACCTCAGTCACACCAAATTCTGCCTCGCGCTTTTGTCAGATTGTGTCCAGCAACGTCTCGATCGCGGCCTTATCAGACGCAGACACTTCCTTAACCGGCTGGAAATTAATTAATAGGCAAAAATATACGTCTGTAGACTTAACAGTTCCAGTCATCCCCATTCATCTCATCGTCATGAAGATTTTCATTCAGCTTTTGAATATTCACAGCATTTTATATCTGATTTTATTATAAAAGAGCGGAAAAAGAAATGCTGGTTGTGAATGAATCTTAATTATAGCAGCCGCACTGAATGAAAAGAGAAATCAGATTTGATGTAGTATGGGCAAGGTGGCTTCCATAAGCATCCTGTTCCTCTTGCGTGGTGTGCTCGTTGCATATCTTAATAGTTTTATAATTAAAAAAGATTAATAAATATTTTGCATTTTCTAATTATTTTGTTAATTTTTAAAACTTTTTTTGTTATACCACCTTTTAGTATACATTTTTTTTATATTAATATTTCTTCTTGATAAAATATATTTTTACATGATATTTTAGAAGCCAATTTGATTATTGCAGTCATTATGATTCAATGTAAAATTTGCTGGCAAAATAAATATTTAGTTGGTACATCAATTTAGTTAACTATCAAGAGATACCTTCATGGTACAAGCTTGTTCACATCGTTTCCTCACTCAATAATAAGGAATTGTATTAAACTCTATTAATAAAAATACAAAATTAAATATGATCCAAGAGAAATTTAATGTGGATTCAGAAACTGAGCGAGAAAGCCATTACTTGGAAAACAAATTAAATTGTCCAAATTTCAACTTTAAACATGACACAGGTCTACACGAAAATTAAAAGAAAATGCACTTACAAATTGGCAGCATAAAACATGGATTTGCTCAAAATATTATACAATTCTTAGAGTATTGGTAAGTATTTTTATTTCTTCAACTTTCCAGTCCAAGTTTAACGAAAGGCGCTCGAGATTAAGTTATATAGGTTTATAAAACAATTTATATATTTAATGAGAATGGTCCATTCCGAAAATTATCGTCGTGCCGATCGTGAGAAAAACCGCGTGCAACCAAAGCTTCTTATGATTATTATTGTCGGTGTGCGAGTGCGTGGAGAAAATCGGCTACAGAATGTATTCCAAATTAAATTTATAACAAAGAGCCGAGACTGCCTGTACTTCTTATACACCTCCCTTTCCATAGGTGTTGGTGTGCAAACTCGACACCTTGGATTAACGCCTGCTTCATGAATATCAATGAGAGAGACACCAAAGAGGACCTTGCTACGCTTGCCAGCCGCAGCAATACCATTTTTTTTTACATGAGAGTGAGCACACACTACTTTTATATATACATAGGCATTTACATACAGGGAATGCGCGACGAGAAAAGAAAAGGAGAGAATCAGCATCTCGCGCCACCGCGCCCAAGCCAGCAGAAGCTTCCAATTGTCACGAGAATTTCGTGTAGAAAAAATTGGAATTTCCGAGGAATAAAAAATTCAAATCAATCTGCAGTGCAGGGAAAAGTGAATTGCAAATTCGTCTCTCGGACGAAAGTACGGTCTCTTTGAACTTTTTCGCAATGAAGTTTATTACAACAATGAAACTACTCTTTTAAAAAAGGAACATCACACGCGTGCTTGAGTTAGAAAAGCGAATGGACCGTCTGACTGAGAGTTACTATTATTCATTTTTTTTTCCCGGTAGCAACAAAGCCAGTAAGTGTTTGGTACTAGAGAGTTAGAGGCGGTAAACACACAATGCATAACACTTTGTCATTGCATTTAATCAAATGGTGCTTGCTGAAATTATTCACGGCCCACAAAACCCGTCATTGCTCCGTGCGCGCATTCCTCACTTGAAAGGGAAAAGGAATCTCAAATATTTTCTTTAGCGTCGTTTAACTGCTGCGAATAAAAGCAAGTTGGCAGTTGCGACAACAGAGCGAAAAAGCAAGCAAAGAATAATTGCACTTTGCTATAAATTTTTTCAGCAAAGAAATAGATAAGAATTGTTTTTTAATTTATTATTATTATTTATTCTTCTCGGTCAATCGCTATTAAAAATAACATTCATTGAATTGATACTAAAATTTAAAAATAAACGTTAATCTCAAGAAATATTGTAAGTGGAAAAAATGTAATTACTTATGAAATTTGGGAAAACCCCAAAGAAAAATTCTTTGAGAAATAATAAATGTTTTCCATCTCCCTTATTTTAACTTATTTTTTGTGTGTGTGTCATAAAATTGTATGAGTTCATGTATGGGAATTTTCCCTTACAATTAGACGAATCCAAAAAAAATATTATTAAAACAGAATTTTCAACCAATTATAAATACATATATACTTGTTTTTACTCCATCTAAATTTAAGTGCAAAAAGAAATAACAAAGCTGTGGCTTTTGGTTTTTTCAAAAGATGGTGGTCAGCTGCATCCGGTTCGAAACACTAATTTTTTTCACAATCTTCCCCGCTTCCTTCATTAGTGGTTTCCTTCACGCGTTTTCGGTCCATCCACAGCAAGTTATAAACACCAGCTTTGAGAGATGAGGCAGCCCAGCCTGCTTTTCTTAGCTCTCTGTCTTTCGTTTTCCTCGGCGAAAAAGTGCAGAAATGGACAAGAAATTAAGTTAGTTGGGCCCGTAAACGTGGACGAGGAGTTGGGATTTTTGCTCCACGACGGCGAATTCTACTTTGAAGAGGCTTATTTTAAAGAAGGCGGGTCTTACTACATCTGTCCTTGCGACCAAAAACCGTGCATCCGATCCTGCAAGGCAGGTATTTCTCAATATATCTCAATTTTATTCATAAAAATTGAAACTATTTTCCCAAATTAGATTATGCCAGAGTGACGAAATTGAGTTTGCCAAAACGAGGCATGAAGTTAAACGTTACCAAGGACAATGAAGTTCATTCGGTTGATTTGTACAATTATTTCGCCGTGCTGAAAGAAGGAGAATGTTGGTCGGCGCATTTTCTGGACGGCGACGAGGAAGATGCACACACAATTTTGGTGGACGGTTCTATAAAATTTACAAACAGTCTACCAGGGTACCCATCTACCTTTGACATGCAAAACTACTGCATTCTGAGCGACGTGAGATTTTATTTATTTCAAAAAAATTCAAACTGAATGACTGGATTGGAATTTACAGGAAAATCAAAAGGTGCGTGTTATTAGCTGCGCCACAAGCGAAAAGCCAGAAATTGAAGAATCGCAAACCCAGGAACCATCCACGATTGAAGCATTCCCTTCTTCAACTACAAAGACCTCAAAAACGAAATCATCAGAAATGAAGCAAACGACCAAAAGGTCAAAATTTTTCTTATTGATGATGTATTCGGAATGAGCAAATCAAGAGCCAATTTAAAAATTTCAAATTATAAAACAAATTTCCGGCGGCCTCTTTTTTTATTTTTTAAAATATATGGTGGTTTTTAAATGAACATTCACCTAGTATATTCATTAATATATAAAAACGAACATATTTTTTTTACCCTTATTTCAATATAAATTTGAGTAATTTTATTTCATCCTTGTTTGTTAAGTAGAAAAGGTTTGAGATTGTAAAAAGAAGCCGCGTTTTTATATAACTGGATATAAAGTTGCCAAGTAACGCAATTGGATGTACTTGGAACACGCGGCCGCGGAGCAGAGGCGGATGGAGGCCAATTTCGGGATCTTTTGTGTCGCGGGCCGACGAGAGGAAAACGAGGGGCTCATTGTTGGGCTTTTCAAGTGCTGACGTTTGCGCCGAGTTGGCCAGCAGTCGCCTTTAAAAGGATAATTGCAGAGTCAACAAGTCCCGAGCGCTACCGTATTATTAATCTGACAATTACACACAAAATTGCTGCTCGTGCTGCTGCCGAGAAAAAAACACACACAAACATTTTTGGTATTCTTCTCTCTGCGGTCGGGTTCGGTTCCTGCATACCTAAGTCAAAATATAAAACACAACTCTCAAGCACCTGGAGCTATTTATTGAAAATCTAGCTCCTCTCTGTAATTTATGACGTTTAAACTTTTTCACTTGTGGGAGGTGCTAAGAAATAACACACTTTTTTGGCCTACACAGATTAAATTGCCTACCAAAATAATAATGATTATGTTTAAACGGGTGAATAGCCCAGAGCCACCTACTCCGATTGGTTCCCAATCCTAAAAAAATCATTAAGGTGAGGGGAGAATAAAATAATTAAATTATAGCTTAGAATTTTTTGGATTGATTTCTGAAATTATGTCTTTTGTTTTTGTTTCCTTTAATTTATTATTTAATTAACTAATTACTTATATTATTAGTTTCTTTAATTGCTCCTACTTAATTAAAATCAAGTCTTCCTTGAAATTATTTGTAAAAAATTGGAAATTTCAACTTCCAATGTTGTATAGACTTAATTTAAAATTTGCAATTCAATAAGAACCTTTTAAAAGACTCTCTTAAAAGGAAAACAAATTTTTTGTAGGGAAATATTGAATTGTTGCGTTTGTGTTCTTAAACACACGTTTCCCTTCCAAATATTGTTTTTCTTTAGAATAATTATCTGTTACAATTTGGACAACGCAACAAGAATAATAATTAATCACAAACGAATTTTCATCGTTTTATAATAAATGTCAATTTTTATGGTTGGTAAATTTTTCACTCTTACAATTAATTTTAAAAGTCTGTCTATACAAAAGAATTTTTATTTCGCACGTCAATCGCATTAAAAAGGTGCTGTGGGAATAATGGGGAATTTTTCATTTTTAATCACTCTCACACACAACAAACAACGTTCGGTGATTGCGAGAGGTGGCGGATAAATCCAATATGAAGCTGTAAAGTGGCCAAAGCCTATAATTTGCGCGGCTGAAAACATATTTGTGACAGGCAAAGCTCAATAATTTCATTCGATTAATTGGTACCTGCTAAGTAGTATAGTATGAGAAGTATTTGTTGTTGTGCCGGGTCACAGGTCGTTGATTAAAATCATGACTCGCGCACGGGAACCGCCATAAAAAAGCGGCCGCGACTTACCAAGTGTCCGTCCGCATATTCCAAAGGAAATCGGTGGAAAAAGAAAGAAAACAATCTCGGATGGGACGCCGATGCATTATATTAAAACGGACCTCTCACAATCGGGCTTTTGTAATTATTTAATTTATTTTATGGCCCCATTACCACGGCCGGGCGGCGCTTACAAAACTCCATAAACTAAAGGAATGTGTCGGCCACTTTCCTGATTTTGTATTGCATTATGAAGAATTGATCAAGCCTCAATTTAATTATTTGGCCAATTAATTGAATTATTAAAAATGCATTTTAAATAAAAAAATTTATTTTAACAAAATATAATTTAATTGATTTCCTGTTTTCTTACTACAGTGGCTATTTCTATTTTATTTTGCCATGAACCTATAAATTAATAATTTTCATCACCGTGGGAGAAAAAGTTGAGGAAGAATTATTAAAGAATTTTGTCCTCTCGGAGACGTGAGAGCTGCGGCGGGACAGTCATCCATCCTCCTTTTCACCTGTGTGTTTTCAGGTAGAAAAATTGTTGGGACATAAAAGCACGCGGATGCATCGTGTGTCACCGTAAACGGCGTGTATCTTTTATATTATACCTGACTCCTCATTGTTTCTTTCCCATAAACGTGCAGCGCCCCGCGACCCTAATTAATTCCCACACTCACAGGAATTATGTACGGCGGGTGGCTCCATCGTCTTGACAAAGGCGGTGATTTTGAGCAGCTCCCGCAATTCTGGTTGTCACTAATATTGACATTCGCAGACTTTTTTAAATTTCAATTTGACAATAAAATTAAAAAAAAAGAAATATAAAAAGATTACAACAATTTCAAAGCAGATTCTTTAATTCCTTTCAATGAACTCTGGACTGACAATCTTGTAAGAAATTGCATTCTTTAAAAAAATTAAAGGCAGTTTAGATGCATTTTTTATTTATTTATTTTATTTATGATACACTCTGGATGGCAGCAGCTGCTAAACTGCTAAATAATGTAGTTTTGTGTCCGCACGTAATTTGTGCAGGCGCGTGTGATACGATCGCAATTTGGCATTGCGAGCGGAGCATTTCATTCAAAACGGTCCTTTTATCGCCAGCACTAATCATTTTTCGCCCATTTGTCAAAATCTGCGTCATTCTCTTTGTTCTCGGTGTGAAGTTTCAACTGCTTTGAGAAACAAAATAATGTCAACCCCAAAAGGTTCACACCATCTCGCATACCGATTACATTGATAAACCTGATGAATTACACCTCATATAATATTAAAAACAAATCTTCTAGTCCATGTTATTGAAAAATTATTTATTGCTCATTGAGTATTCACCATACATACAATGTTATAGTTACAATTTTAAGCAAAAAGAAATAAAATTGTTGCAATAACTTCTTCATTTTTGCGTAGTCCACGACAGATTTCACTCGTGCAGGGCAGTTCATATGCCCATAACTTATATAATCTAAAAACTTTTATTTGTAAAGTTAGGCAAAGCAGATTAATTGTATTAGTTTTTTTTTTAGTAAATGAAACCATTAATAAATAAATAACAATTTAGATTCTTATATCTTATTTTTCAAGTTTCTTATAAAAACGAGCACCAATCTGATTAATTTAAAAAAGCTGTTATCATTATAGGTATAAATTAGCTTGACCAAAAACATAATATACTTTAAAAAGCTCTGAAAAAAGTAAAAATAATTGTTATTTAGCCTTACAATTATTAGTTATTTTAAAAAAATTATTATAAAACCTAAATTTTTATATTATTTTAAATACTATTTTTAATAATTTTTTGTTTTAAATATTATCTAAATTTTTAATTAGTAAAATTATTTTAATTTTTTTTCCAATATTAATTTTTTATATTTATTTATTTTATTTTAAACATTGAAATTTAATTTATATAGGGTAGGACATTTCTGATACTATATTATAATTATAACACTATGAAAATGAATCTCATCGTCTTGTCAGTTTGTCTGTATATTAACATGTAACACAGTTGAGCAAATTATTTTTCATTGGCATTTGAGACGATCATTGAAGAGATTTCAGTAGTAAATGCGCTCTCCGGTTTACTTTCAGAGCTTTGAAAGCAAGTGAAACATCTTCGGCAACAGTTTTTAAATTCTCTATGCATAAGTACAAAGAAAACAAAATATGAAATTCCTTGCGAAGTTCCAACCAAGTTAAATAAAAATCCAAACACAAATCTGGCATCGGGGAAGACAATTTGGAGGACGCCAAAAATCCAAACCAGACCAAGCATGGTGAACAAATATACCAAATGAATAAATCTGCGAACGTGCGACCCATTGTCGTGGTGCTTCTTCCCATTGAATTTGTTCAAACGACACAGATTGTAGGTGATCATTGCAAAAACCGACAGGTTGAGAAATTGAATTAAAGCCACTGGGAAGGCGACAGTGAGGTAAAAAGCGAGACCAGTGGGCAAATAGAAAGGTGGTTGTGAGTAGAAATCAAACTTTTGCAAAATAAGCACAATTAGGCCTGGGATAATCGGAATACACCAACCAACGATTGATGATTTCAGAATCAAATTTGACGTTCTCACAAACATTACTTTAACCAACCTTTTATACTGCCAATAAGCAGCAACCAGCATCCATGAAATGTGCGCCAAAATGGAATAGTGAATGCAAAATCCTGCTATAAAACGAACCCAATCACTTGAATTGTCGTCGATCAAAAAATCAATGCCAAGAAATAGCGAGTACAATATTGTGAGACTTAGTGCCATGTGCAACAAAAGCTTTTGTCCAACTCCTTTTCTCCATTTGGAGGAAATCGTAGCGGCTAAAAATACGCCGGCGAGACAAACCAGTGAAGTTATGCAACCGACATTACTTATTACTTCAAAAAGGTCATCGATTTCTGAATTTAAAGGTGTGTTTCTTGAAGTGTACTTATCAGTTTTTTCCATAGTGTTGAAGTCATATTTAGAATCCCAAAAAATTAGAGCGTAGTGGGTCATGTGCCAACAATGGCACTCATCGACAAAAGTTGAGTCTTCCAGTTTGTGGGTAGCAATAATTTTGCAGCCCTCAGTTGACCAATTTCCGTTTCCATTGTTCAATGAAAAATTCCAAAAGCCACATTCACCTGAAATAATAATTAATATGGCTGCATCAATATACATGACACTCGTCAAATTAAGTTATAAATTATCATATTATTAATTTTTTAATTATATAAATTCTTGAAATATTCACCCAATTTTTGAGAAGAATTTCGTGGAAACCAAATAATAACAGGCTCATCCAAATTTATTAAATGTTTTCCGTCCAAATTTACGTTTACAACGTCGCTGGTTTTGAACTCATTCAGAAAAAGTTTTTCAGATTCTTGAATTATAACCACCGAAAGTCTTCTGTGGTGCAGCAATGAACTTTCAGGTAGTTTGACAGCGGCTCTGCAATACGAATTTTTATTATTTTTATGTTCTGAAAACAATTCAAAGGCTCGTACATCAAACCTGGCTGAAGAATAGACGAGTCATTCGACTCGGAAGTTATTGAGTGAAACTTCTGTAATTCCTCGGATTTACCAAGACCGGTCAATTGCATCCCTCTTATTTTAGTTCCATTGATGTTTTCTACTCGCACCGCAAAATTAGGCTTGATTTCTTCTGCTGAAGATTGATTAAGGACCACGTTTGCCAAGAAATGGTCCAAATTTTTCAATAAATTGGTTTCTTGTGGTTTACTTAAATTTTTCAATATCGCTTCTTGGTTATTTCCAAAGGCACTAAACAGATTCGCAACCTTCCTGATCGCTGAATCGTCAGATGGAAAATTTTCCGAAACAAATATATTTGTTGTAAACGCTTCCAATTTGAGATATTTAAGGTCTTCCGGTTTTGTTTCGTTCCATCTCGCACCAGCATAATAATCACCAATACAGGTTGCATTTCTTATTTTAAGAGAATCGTGACTTTCGCCCTTCCATCCGAATGGGAGTCCAGAGTCGACTTCAGGAAAGCAACAGAATGTGCTTCTGATGAATTCAATCTGTTGTTTACACTTGCTTTCAAGTGATATTCGAAGTTGCTTGGCCAAATTAAAATCAGACTCGCAAGTTAAAATTTTCCTGGTCACATTTCTTGAAAAGTGAGCAACATGTTTGTCTCTTGCAATCTGCTTGACGCTGATTTTTTTACCAGGCAAATAACATTCGTGCCGCAGTTTTCCAATGTTCACTGGCAACGAAAAGCGGATCGCGAGTGTTTGAATAAAATTCGGTTTCGTGTAAAACGGACTTATGATTTCTACGTCAGAGTTTCCTGGACTGTGATACCTGCAGACGTAATATCCATTGAACCCAATTTTTTGTAGCTCAAAGTTGCAAAAATGATCGGGAACGCACTCCTTTTTCCGCTTGATTGTCACTTGATGGAAAATGGCTGACAGATCTTCAGATTCGGCAAACGAACAATCGAGATGCTCCGTTTCGAAATTGTCCAGAAATGAAATTCTTGCCCTCACTTCAAGGATAAGGGTGAAAAATGCTCCATCCTTAAAATTTAAAACAACTTCACTTTCGTTTTGGCATAAAAAGCCATTTGCAAGGAGCAACAAAATGAAAACACTTGGAAGACGCATTTCAGTGAACTAATGATGTGAATAAAAGAGTGGCTGATATTATTTATGAGTGTTCATATTTACAGCCACAATCATATCTAAAGGAAGCTCTGGTTTAAAAAGATTTATACTGAGGTCTGTGTTGTTTTATCATTTATGCTAACCAACTCATTGCAGCTTTTTGAGGAAAGTATGAATCAAGGACGACGATTATTTTTTTTATTGTTCTGTATTAATCGCAAAACAAATAATGTATTAATTTATAATGTGAAAAACTGGCAAAACCCTGATAAAAAGTCAATTACACAATAGATGTTCTGGCGGAGATGAGCCGTAATATTATTTATTAAAAAGTATTTGAGTAAAAATGTTGCTATGATATATTTTCCTATCACTACATAGAAAAATAAAAAAAAAAATGCTCGATGAAAAAAATGAGCACATTTTGAAAAATAAACTTTTAATACATAAGAAAGGAACAATCCCCTGGCATTCTTAAATTAATTCATACTTTATAGGCTGCCATGATTGCAGCAAAAAAATGTACGGAACACAAAAGGAAATGCACCATGCGCAAACAATGGCACACGTCAATGAAGATTTGTGAGTGGCTTCAAAAGTGCCAAGAGTGCTTCCATCAATTTACTAATTGCTCTTTCCGCCATTTAATTCCAAACCCCAAAAGAAGCAAACACCTGCAATAAAATTAACTTAAATTAAAATCGTCCCCCTCTTGTGAGAGGAGTTTCTTAAAACCAAATAATAACCAAGTAATTTAAAATTTTAACGCTTCCTGTCTTAAGATACGTCTTTCGCTTATTTTAAATCCTTCACAGAATAGTCTCCTTTCTAGATTTGTATTTAAAGCTCCAGCAAATAAGTTGTAGTCTTTGTTTTAGTTTTAACATTTCAGTAACTTAGTTTAACATATATACTATATAAATAAGGTTTAATTTTGCTTGTTTTTTTTTTATAAATTTAATTTTTTTTAAATCATTTTTATAATTTTTTAAAATAATTGAAAAATTCAATTTCAGATTTTTATTTCATATTATTTAATTTTATTTTAAGTAAATTTATTTATATTTGTATTATGTTTTAATTAAATTTATATGAATCATTGCATCCCGAATTATTTTCTACAGAAGTGAATACACAAATGATCTGAACAATTGCATCATCTTTTAGATAAATCACAATTTATGTATCATAATATTCATTATTATTTATTATATTTGAGTCATTAACAAAAATTGAAATTGGAAAAATGAGCAGAAAGGGCAGAGGTCTGCTAAAATGCCCAACATCATAAGAGACGCGGCCGCCGCGGTGAACCCACCTATATTGCAAAAAAGAACAAAAACTTTAAAATTACTGCCATAAATACTGCTTGCAAAGGGTGGGATCTTATTAAATAAAACGAATTTTATATTTTGAAAATTAACACGTACGTTGCGTAAAAAACTGAAATTATTTGACACCTGTCTTTTAACGGAGCCGAATTTTTCTCACACTGCCAAGCAAATTAATGAAGACTTCAAAAAGCGAGAGAAATTCTGAGAAATCACAAACACACTCGTTTGTTTCCATTAAACGAAAACTGTGAAAAGCGAAGGAGCCCCGCGAGTGCTCTTTGTCTCACGCCGAGACCCCCTGCTGACCAAATGAGGTCTCCGGCTCAAATCTGTGTTCCCACACATTTTGGACCCTTAGCAGGCCGGCTGGAGAGCGAGCGAGTATTTTTCATTCCGGGCCACTCTCTGCGGATAATAAATGTCACGACACCGCACCGCCGTCATTTTATACGCACAGGTGTTAAAAACAAAGGGCTACACGAGTTTTATTCCTTGAAATTTATCATAATGTAACTGGATCTGCTTGTAATATAATTTTCTAATTTATTCATGGCCAGATTTTGTTGGGGACTTGAGAGAGCAGTAAACATAAACATCTGGGAAGATTTTTTAAAATGTTTAAAAAAAAATAGTTTTTTGTTAAATTTTTTTATTGGGAAGTTACATAAAAGATAATTTTAAGAATTGCAAAACTTACAAACACCTGATTATAGCAAGAGAATGAAAAGAAGGGGTATGAAAATTGATATAAAAGTTATTACTTATTAATAGTTTGTATTTGTTTTTAATATTAATTTTATTATTTATTGAGGATTTTTTTTTATCTCATTCTTTTTGATTTCCATTAGTGAAACTGAAATAGCGCGGGCTCTTACAATTATAATAATGATCAAACATTGTTCTCCCTGTTTTGCAAGCCAGTGCTCAGCAACAGATTTGCTTTTTTATTTCCCCTCAGCTCTTGCTTTCCATATAAAGCAAAGCTTAAGTGTGTGGAATGCCGTTTTATAGCCGCGACAAAAAACGCGCGGCGAGTGGATGAGCGGCCGCGATTGGGCACCGAGCGCGCTCCGTACCATTTTCTGAACATTTGCATCTCGCGAGGAAGCACATCTGGAACTCACTTAGGGCAATAATAATAAGAAGCAAGCGACATGTACACACTTAAGTGCTTTGCTACCAAGGCGGGGCCTTTGCGGGAGGAGGAGCGTCTCTTGTTTTGCCGCAGCATCCCTGCTCCTCTCCGCGCCAACGATCGCAATCTTTGCTCTTTGGCATTCGGAATATTTTATAATTACGAAACACCTGCTGCTAATTTAATTAGGACTGGCAGTGATTCATTCCGCGTGGGCCGCGATACTTGGCCAAATTTTAATTGCTTCCCGCATCTGCTGAGCCGCTGACAGCGAGACTGATCGACACCCGTCCCAATGTGGGCGCCTCGGAATAGGAAATTTGGCGTCCTCTAATATCCTATTAAAACAACCAATGACACTTAAGTTGATTTAAATCAAATAATAGACAAGTTTAGCATTAGCAATTTCCTTCAAATAGGCTATCGTCAATTCTAACGCAATATTGTTTCCTTTTTCGTTTTATTTATATAATAATTATTATTTTTAAATATCATGTAATTAAAATTCACTCTTTTTTTATTCTTCTCTAGTTGTTTATGTCGAAGATTAAAATTAAAATTTATTTGTGCTCCTCTATAATTTTTTTTGCTTTTATGCTTTTTTTAAAATTCTTAGGATGAGGAAATGTGAACTATAGGATATCGTGGTTTTTCTGGATGTGGTTTTTTTCTGCTTGCGTCACCCGTTCATGTGAATCAATCTTCACGATTCAAGTTAAATGACAAACTTCAATGCGATGCAACCCGCGCAACTCAGCGACGAAGCGTTGTTGCCTATCTTGAAATATGGCAGGAGCTAATGCATACATCCATAGGAGACGCACCGTTTGAACTGTTTATCAGGCCAAAATCAGTCAAACATTTTTCCGTGCATTTAATTAATTAAAACCGAGAGAATTATATTTTAATTACATAGCAAATCTAAAATCCCTCCTAATAAATTAAAAAAAGATTATTTACTAGTATTTTAAATGTATTTTTAGTAAACAATTTTTATATTTTTTATTTTACTTATTTTACAATTTTAAATTTATATATATGAAGTAAAAATTATTATAAAGCTCTTGTATTATTGCTAATTTCAGGCGAATATTAATTAATAAAATTTTACTTGAATGTGAATTTTTTGTTATACATTATTGTCCAGCTATTGTCAGATAGGAAGAGAAATTCTTAAGTAATATTCTGAATTTTTTATAGAGGACTTCAGTATCATTTAACTTAATTGAGTGAAATTTGACGTGATTCATGAAGAATAAACACAAAAATAAGATAAATTTGAAGAACTAATCAAGATATTTTACAGCCATTTTGCATCGCCACGCCTGATTAAATGCAAAACACATAATATTCTGCCGCGCCACACACCAAGTAGTTTTCAAATAAGGGAAACTCGTTGGAGGTTTCGCTCTTTGTACTCCTTGTGAACATATATAACGTGTAATTGGCGTGGTGCGGACAAATTTGGTCTATCGAGGGCTCTGTGCAGCCGAAGCACATGGTGCACGCGGTGTGCATGAGTGCGCTGCATTTGCATAGGCAATAATTAGCAGCACGGTGGCAGCCGCGGCTAATAATCACATTGTAATTTATTCAATTAGATGTGATCGAGATAGCCGTATGGCGCACCTCGGGCGCATTTGTATTATTTGCGCCGCTTCCTGCCAGAACAAAAGCATCCATCCATCCGACCACCCGCTCCCTCCAGTCGCGCACCACTCTCGTTTCTGCATTTCAACTCGCGTACACTCGTTGCATGCGTGCACGAATGCGTGGACATTCGTTCATGCAGGTCTCGCCAATGGTGTTAATTATTTACAATTGTCATTACAGACGGCCTTCGGTGGACCACACACCGATGACAATTGGATGGACAGAGAATGATAAATGTGTTCAAGGCTGCAGCATAAAAAAATGGCTACTATTTGCGTGTCATATCGCTCCTAAATTCAGATAATTAATTTAATAATAATATGATCGTACAAACAAATTTGAGCGATATATAAAAAAAACGCTCACACAAAATTACACATAAATATAGGTTTTAATGAACTCAATAAATTCTAATTGTAGGTAAATTATAATTTTTCTTATTCCTTTTAAATAACATTTTTTTTAATTGTGCAAGAAAAAAAAGTGTTTTTCAAACTAACACTTGTATGCTTAAAAGCCCGAAATCAAGAGAGGGCGGCCGCTGCAGCGAACCTAGAGAGTATTCAAATTAATATTTTCTACAGATAGAAATTGAGTTCTATTAAGTTTATTTTTAAGAGATTGGAATTTATCGAATTCCTTTCTTTAAAGTCCCTTTTTGATTTTATTTGCTGAATTAAACATAATTTCCTTGCTCTCTCTAAAATTCGATTGAATCAAACTCTGAGGTGATTTTAAATAATATTTGGTAGATGAAATTTAAATTACTAAAAAGCATTATTTGTTATTGTATATATTTCAAACATAATTGAAGTAAATAATTTTAACTTTATTTTTTAATTGAAATTTGTTTAAATTTTGAAAATGTTATGTTCAAACAAAATTTTCGCTATATTTTTATAAACTGTTTCATAAAGTGAATAGCGAGATTATCGACCAAATTGGCAATATAAATGCAAATGAAGACACAAGAAGGGTGGCGCGTTAATTTTATTTCCAGGCATGCACAAGACATCAGTCTCCTTTTGTTCGTAGCGCAGAGGGTGGCTGTTCCGCTGTCGGAGAAGAACGTGTCCATTCCCGCTCTCGTATAAATAAAAAGCTTGTATATAGTGAGATGTCAAAAGCGACTTCACGTATTACACATTCATTCTGCTGTCGGCTAATTTCGTGTCGGCGCGTACGATTATTATAATTCATACTTTTTGGACGCAGAGTGAGTGGCAGGACCCCCAACCTTGGCTGGCTGGAGAGTTTTCTTCCTTTCTCACTTTCATGTTTTATAAATGCACCCCTCGGGGGCTGAATTGCTGATTTCGTTTTCATTGTCTTTCCGCGCAATCCAACCGCCACTCGGCGTGTGTGTGTGTTAATTACGCCACTTCCTCTTTTCCTTTGCTGCCGCCGCGAGTATAGTGGTCTGCTTTTTTAGTACGTCAAGTCTGAAAAAGCACCTGCCGCTCTGTTTTTACCTGAGCTTGATTAAGTACAGGATACAAATTCTTTCCTCAGAGCTGTTCTAATTAATATTTTTTGGAGCTAATGAACAAATTAAAATTGTGAAGCTCTTCGCAAAGAACGCTAAATAGTCGTTAGTTGCACAAAATTATCAATAAAATTATGCTGAGCTAAAATTAAATTGATTTATGATATAAGAATGATTGAAATTTTTACAGTGGTTTTTACTATCTGCTATTTATATAATATGAAAACCATATTTTCCTAGTACAGGATCTTTATCAGCAACTAAAAAAGTTTCTTATGCTTATAACAATGATGGAAATTACAAAAAATAAATTTAATTGGAAGTGTGTACGATTTTTTTGTAATATTTTTTTACCTGAAATACATCGTAATAGGCAGAAATTGTTAAAAATTTCAATAAACCCCACTGAAATTATTAATATTTGAGCGATTTAAGTGAATTAAATTTTCATAAATAAATTAATTGGAATACTTTTATTTTATTAATATTGGTAAATTTCATTTTTTTACTCGTATGTTCAAGACATTATTGTAATTCTTTCGAGAACATTATGGTAATTTCTCGCAAGTACGTATTTCATTGTTTATTTCTGGTACTTTTGATATAACATTTCAAACATTTGCTGTTTCAATGAATGTTGGAATTGAAAATTTTAACAGCCCGCTGATCTAATCAGAAGATAATCTAGCTTGCTCATCACACGCCTCTCGTCAAATTAGCAAATCAAAAATCGTGTTAACGAAGCCCCGAGCAGGCGCGGATAAAAAAAACCAGCAGCAGCACTATCGCACTTTTCGGCTGATAAACTTGGCACTAAACGCGGGCGTGTGTGCGTTTTCCGCGGCGTTTAATTGTGCGGAAGGCAAAACATGCACATTCAGTGACTCTTTTTTTAACTGCTGCGCCGCTTATCATCTCGCCAGTGTGTTTCGTTCGTGTTTCCTAAACGTTTTTCAGATAACTTTTCTCTAGTAGGCGTGAATAATTTAATGAATAAAGAGATTTTATCACCGGCCGAGAGCATTATTTTTTCCTACTTATGCGCATGCAGGGCGGCGCACGCAGCATTAAAATCGCCTCTTATCTATTTTATTACACGGCCCAGACACATCGCTGCATGCAGAATGAGATTTTTTTTTTAATTTTACCACATTATTTGCGCCATCAAACTTGCAAATCTCGCCTCTGCAAAAGTGAAGTATGAAAATAAATGTGCGCAAGTTTTGTATTTAACTTTGGAAGCAATTTTTTCTCATCGATATAAAGTAAAAAGTAAAATTAATCGAAGGAGGCTCGTTGAGGAATTTAATATCTTAATACGGAGGATGACGAGATTCGTAATTAAAGACTGGTTGAAAATGTGCCTCATCATTTTGGTTATGGGCACTGGCGAGGCTCCATGCAGAGAAATAATCAACGCGCACCTCTCTCGTTCCCACATACACGCGGATCAATTTTTCGGCAGAGAGAAAATCAACCGTCCATCTCGCTCATTGCCCGAGCAAACGGCGTCCAAAATCATAAATCATTCAAATGCCTGCTTGCACGTGGCGAGGTGAAATTTAAATTAATGCCAATCAGGGCAACAGTGACATGAAAGAGATTGCAATGTTTAGAGTTGTTTTATTTTATCTTTTAACTTAACTAACAATTAATAAACACAATTTGCAACTAATAATCTGCTAATAATTTTAGTGCTAAAATCTTGTTTATTTTTGAATAAAACTTTAATGATTTATAAGTGTTTATACATTGTTTAGAGAATATTTTTCATTGATAGAAAACCATTTCTGAGAGTTGAATTGTTGCTTTGGCAAGTAGCTTAATATTATATAATTATAAAATATTAAAAAATAAAAAATTGTAATTGTAATTTTACAGAAAATCCATATTATATGTTGTCTCAATTTGATCAAAATAATTTAATCAGCTATAAAATTGTCAGCGTGAAGTATATACAATCCAATATTAATAATACTCTAATTAATATTTAAAAATGAAGTACAATAAAATAATATACGCTTTTTTTTAAATATTGAACAAAAGTATGACGACGTGGCCTTGTTCTTAATCTATGAGAAACACGATGGTGCGCTGATCTGCATCAAAAGAGCGTGATTTTTATCGAGAACATTGCTTTTTCGTGGTTACATCAAATACCGAGTGGAAATTTCAAATTCATGGAAACCGCCCTTACAAGTTTTTGAATATTTCATGCAGCCTCGAGAAAGAAATGCACCCATACATCCCACGGCAGCCGAAAAATTGGTAAGACAAAAAATAAACACTGTACACTGGCTGAGAGAGAGAGAGGGAGATACTTTGCATATAATCACGCAAATCAATCTACGAATTAACTTGAAAATTATTCCGGACGGCGATTTGGTGAAAATATTAAAGAAAAGCGAGCACGGGTATGATGTTCTAATAAAAAATAACAAGCCCTGAAAATAAATGCCGTTTTAAACAGAGTTTCTATATGCAAGCAGTAAAAATATTATATTGGAGGAGATGCCGGGCGAACGATAAGGAATATGCAGATCGAGTTAGGGTGTATGGCACACGGCGCACACGGCCATAAAGAGGATCACTTTTAATAAAATTAACCGCACGGCGTCGATATCGCCGATCGTAATTGCGTTTTTGGCTGCATAAAGGGAAAAGCGCGCCGGGATTTTAAAACGTCTCTCGCGTGCATAAAACTCGGCGCAAATATTATTATTATAATGTGGTGCCGCCGTCGTTTTATCGGCCTCGAACAATGGAGGTGCGAAAGCAATTTTATTACACAAATTGGCGTTTTACCGTCTCTCGGCATGAAAAACACACGCGGAAAAATGGCGGACGCGATTTTTAAGGCAAAACGAGACGCAATGTGTGCTCTCGACTCTCTCGGGGCGAGATAATCGATAAAGCACACACTGAGACGCGCAACCTATAATCAAAACGTATATAAAAACCCATAGATCAATAATTTCCGATTGTGGAAAGTATTTCAAGAGCAAAATTCACCCGCGGGCCGTAATATTTATTTTGTTAAAAGCACCTGGCCGCTACGCCAAAGCTAAAAAATCCGGAGGATTTCTCTGGTCCTGGTGATTAAAAGTGGAACAAACAATAATCCTAATCAAACTTTCAGAAATATGCAACCAAATGGAAAGTATTTATAAATTCAGGCACAAAAATAAGTAACGTTTTGTTTGCTTCAAAATTAAAAAAGTTTTTGGTAGAAAATTATTTCATTATATTTCGAAAATATGCTGTTTTTCGTCAATTTTTTTTTTTTTTTTTTTTTATTATTTTGCTTTCTTAATTATTTTGTTAAATTTCATCAAAATCTTTGAATATCTTTTTTTTAAAGGAAAAGTATTACATTTTTTCTTTCCATTAAAAAAATAGAGAGATATTGAATTAAATGAAGCTTGAATTAAAAATTATTGAACTTCCTTTATGATGCAAAAACGTTTAATAATAACAGGCGCCGACTTCAATAAATGCACGGACGCTGTAACAGGAACAAGAAGATATCTCACAATTAAGACCTGCGCGTCGACTTTTATAGTCTCTGTAGAAAGAAAAAGAACGGGCGAGAGGTAATAAAAGTATACGTTTTATGATTGAAACTGCATAAATTAGAGGAGCACACACGTACAAGCATTGTCAGCAAGACGAGACCATGTAATTATCATTTTCTCGGCTCTCTCATTACGCGGGACCGCAAAAACTCATTTCCATAAAAATATTCCCTCTTATTAGGCAGAGAGCGAAAGTGAAATTATGACGAGAGATTTGGCTCGTGCTCGGCGCTAACGTATGAGGAAAATGTTTTTTGTCGTCGCGTGGAGATTAAAAGAAGCCAAATTGCACCTTTCGCGAGATCTGCTCGGGCGAGTGTCTTTGGAATAAAAAAAAAAAAAAAAAACGCTACCAACAAACACCTGCGGCCTAATTTCTGGCTTTGTCTAGAGGATTGGGAAGTTTGTATTTCAAGCAAGCTAAATAAATAGAACTGCCAAAGAGAAGGGCAAGTTATGATATTTTATTTATTATTATTATTAATTTGCACTGAATTAAAAAATTTAGCTTATAAAAAATAAAGAAATTACATTAATACTGCATTTTTATAGCCATAACCATTAAAGAAGATGTCTTAAAATTTTAATACGACAAAATTATATTTAGCAAAACGTAAATCAAAATGAGATTAATTACAATTTCTTTTATTTACGTTTTAAATTAAGTACACGTACAATTCACATTTTATAATCTGACCATATTTATTGTCCATTGTCAGAAACAGTTTTTACAACATTTCAAAACAAAACACTATTTTTAAGCAAGGATAACAACTGCTAAAGCATAATGTGAAATAATGTAATTGAGGTATAGGTATTTAGGTATGTATTTTTTTTAAATTTAGTAATATTTCTGTAATTTTCTTATTTCATATTAGAGAGCTTACAATTTTCAAAGTTTTTTTTTTAAATTTTTTCATGAGAGGAAATAACAAAAAACATTTAAAAACATTTATGGAAGAACTTAATTTTTGTTTTCACTATGAAAATTAACCGCGCTACTTTCGGATCGATTGGAAGAAATAATTCTGCTAAAAGTGGTCATCAAACTGTTTTCACTCTGGCGCAAGTTCTTTTCTTCAGACATTTTGCTCATATTACGCAAAAGCGCGACGAATCTTTGCCAAGCGCTAGGAAAGTCTTTGTGCATTAGGACAAAGAAACAAAAGTACACCATGCCTTGAAAAGTGCCGAAAATCGTAAATAAAAGTCCGAAAGCAAATCTGGCGTCGGGAAATGCCACTTGGAATATTGCGAATATCCAATTGAGACCAAGCAATGTGAACAAAAAGACCAATTGGATAAATCTGCGGAATTGGAACCGATTTGCATCGTGCTTTCTGCCACTAAAACTGCTTACGCGGCATATGTTGAATGTTATCAGAGCAAAAACGGCTAAATTGATCAATTGGATTAGAGTTACTGGAAGGAGAATGGATAGATAAAAGGCCAAGCCGGTTGGAAGACAAAGTGGAATTTCTGAATAAAAATCAAACTTTTGACTTAATAGAACAACCATGCCGGGAATAATAGGAAATATCCAACCGACCACAGCGGATTTCAAGATCAAATTCGGTTTTCTGCGGGCAATCACTTTGACCAGCCGAATGTACTGTAAGTAGGCGGCTATTAGCATCCAAAAAACGTGCGCCAAAATTGCATAGTGCATGAAAAATCCGGTGAAAAAACAGCCCCATTTATTTAAATCAACATTTGCCGTTACTAGGAAAAGTGACAAAAGCAATGCTAGGCTCAAAGCCATTTGGAGTAAAAGTTTTTGGCCGGCGCCTTTTCTCCACTTGGGCGAAATAATTGCCGCCAAAAATACACCCGCAAGACTAATTAAAGAAGTTATGCAACCGACGCTACTGACGTGATCAAGAAACGTGCTCTTAAATTGAGCGGTCGATTTGGAATCCCAAAATATTAGGGCGAAATGAGTCAAGTGCCAACAGTGACATTCGTCAATCAAAGTGTCTTCCAGTGCGATAGTTTTGTTCAAGGTGCATCCCTCTGATGACCAATTTCCTTTCCCTTTGGCCATTGCAAAGTCCCAAAATCCACATGCAGCTGAAATTTAAAAAAAAAATTGTTAGAAAAGTAAATTAATAAAATAATTTTAATAAAGAATTTAAATATAATATATAATTGAAACATTGTTCAAGTATATAAAAATATGTTTTCCTTTTTTTAAATACAACAATCTCTAAAGAATACCTGAATTATTATTTGACTTTTTGGGAAACAGCAAAATGATGGGTTCAGATAAATTTCTACGGTGGCCTCCATCTAAGGTAACACTTATGACGGCGCTTGTTGCATAGGCTGCACTGAAAAGGCTTTTTGAGTCTTTGATGACCGACACTGCCAGCCTTTCTCCCGCGTCCACTAAAATTCTAGGCAGTTCAATACCAGCTCTGAAATAGATTTAATTGAGAAAACTGTAAAATATAAAAAAAAAATTCATTTATACATTAAATCAGATTGAACAGCAAAGTCATCGGCTGAGTCGTTTGCACTCAGGCTTTTAAATTCATCACGATCTCTCTTGTCTATGAGACGCAGGCCAATCGTTTTAGTCAAACTGAGGTTCTCAACTCTCACTGCTACTTTTTGACTTATCTCCTCTACTTTCGGCTCGTCTAGCGTAATGCTTGCCAGATAAAAGTCAAAGTTTGAAAGCAATTGGTTAGTTTTGTTTTTCTTTTTAGCTTCTTGATAAAAAGTTCCGTCACTGGACACAAATTCGGCAAAATTGTTCACTACTTCCGGAAGAACAGACTGATTTTTAGATGTCAGCAAAATTTCGTTGAATTTTTCTATTCTTTCCACCTTTTCAGCGGATTTAATTAGATCCTCTTTTAGTGCATTATCGGTTTGTCCTTGATTTGATTTGTGGACGGTCCCGTTGTCGTTCACGCCATTAAAGTGATCATTGTTGCAATCTTCTTCCAAAGGCGGCAAATTTAAGCTAGTATCATACTTGGCATCAGGCAAACAGCAAACATTGCTCCAAGTGATGTTGGCAGGGTATTTTATTTTTGCCCTTAAGTACTCTGCTTTTACGGGATGATGAGTACAGGGTGGACCAATTTCGTTTGTGGAGAAATGAAAAATATTGTCGGTGCCTTCTACTAGCTTAACAGTCATAACGCCGCAAACTAGCTTCTGAAGATCTTCCAACTTTTGCAAAGTTTCAAATTGAACAACAAGAGTTACAAAGTTATTCGGCAGCGTGTAAATGAGCTCATTGCTTGCTTTGGTGTACCCGAAGACATTTCCTACGCATGAATAAATCCCATTCACATTTAAAGTTTCAATCTTGTACTTGCACATTTTTTCATCACCAGTCACAATGCAGCCGCCTAAAAGATTATTTTGAACATGCATGCTGTTTGATCGATTCACACATTCAACGATGTTGCACTCAAATAAACTATCTTGAAGCTGAATCCTTTTAGCGACGACGACTTGAAGTACAACTGTCCCGTTTTCATTTTCCAACTTCAATGACTTTATCGTGGATGATTTTGACTCACTTGACGAACTTAAAGAGTAAAAAAGGAACACAATTCCAAGGATCACGTACAGCCGCATGGTTGTACGTAAACTGAGACCACAATTCAAGAGCGGTGGAAGCAAATTTTAACGAACTGGCCGGAATTGAGCGAAAACCGCAATCATTTGAGGAAGGAAAGAAACAGTTCAATGTACGTTGAATTTTTACAGGAAAATGTAAATTTAATTAATTCATTTAATGGTATAACGAGCAACTAATTGAGACAATATTGAGAGCAGTATAGTGGATTATAAAAATTTTAATAAAGAAAAACCTCTTATAAAATGGTGTTGATTAACCAGCATTACTGATGTGATGTATCTCTGCATCACCTTATATATTATACTGCAAAATAAAGAGATAAACAAACAATTCCTTATCATAACATAAAGGTTTCATGTAACTCTAATAAGAATCAAATTTAAAATGTGCAAATATTTATTTTGTAATTTTTAAAATTCATTTTTAATAGCTATTTAAAACACTTTAAAATTAAAAAAACCTAAATTACATAATTAATTTAAATAAGTGGATATTTTTATTTTTACAATCAAATATAAATAAAGGAAAAAACAAGTGGGTTATATAAACATATCCTAAAAGAAAAATCAAAATATCAAAAAGTTGTATCTTTCTCTAAATTTTCCCCACCATTATATGTTTGATTAGATGAAGTGAAAATTCTGCTAATAGTGGTCATCAAAGTGTTTTCACTGTGGCGCAAGCTTTTTTCTTCAGACGTTTCGCTCATGTTACGTAAAAGTGCGACGAATCTTCGCCAAGCACTAGGAAAGTCTTTGTGCATTAGGACAAAAAAACAAAAGTACACCATGCCTTGAAAAGTGCCGAAAATCGTAAATAAAAGTCCGAAAGCAAATCTGGCGTCGGGAAATGCCACTTGGAATATTGCAAATATCCAATTGAGACCAAGCAATGTGAACAAAAAGACCAATTGGATAAATCTGCGAAATTGGAACCGATTGGCATCGTGCTTTCTGCCTCTAAAACTGCTTACGCGGCATATGTTGAATGTTATCAGAGCAAAAACGGCTAAATTGATCAATTGGATAAGAGTTACTGGAAGGAGAATGGATAGATAAAAGGCCAAGCCGGTCGGAAGACAAAGTGGAATTTCAGAATAAAAATCAAATTTTTGGCTTAATAGAACAACCATGCCGGGAATAATAGGAAATATCCAACCGACCACAGCGGATTTCAAGATCAAATTCGGTTTTCTTTGGGCGATCACTTTGACCAGCCGAATGTACTGTAAGTAGGCGGCAATTAGCATCCAAAAAACGTGCGCCAAAATTGCATAGTGCATGAAAAATCCGGCGAAAAAACAGCCCCATTTATTTAAATCAACGTTTGCCGTTACTAGGAAAAGTGACAAAAGCAATGCCAGGCTCAAAGCCATTTGGAGTAAAAGTTTTTGGCCGGCGCCTTTTCTCCACTTTGGTGAAATAATTGCTGCTAAAAATACACCCGCAAGACAAACTAAAGAGGTTATGCAACCGACGCTACTGACTTGATCAAGAAACGTGTTCTTAAATTGAGCGGTCGATTTGGAATCCCAGAAAATGAGGGCGAAGTGAGTCAAGTGCCAACAATGACATTCGTCAATCAAAGTGTCTTCCAGTGTGATAGTTTTGTTCAAGGTGCATCCTTCTGTTGACCAATTTCCTTCTTCCATATCCATAGTAAAGTCCCAATAAACACAGGCAGCTGAAATATACAAAAAAAAAAATGTTAGAAAAGTGAATTAATAAAATTATAATTATAAAGGCCAATTAATGTAATACATAATTATAAGCAGCGTTGAAGTATTTAAAAAAATGTTTGCCTTTTAATGAAAAGTAATTTTTAAAGAATACCTGAATTATTGTTTAATTTTTTGGGAAATAGCAAAATGATGGGTTCAGATAAATTTCTACGGTGGCCTCCATCCAAAGTAACACTTATGACGGCACTCGTTGCATAGGCTGCACTGAAAAGGCTTTTTGAGTCTTTGATGACTGACACTGCCAGCCTTTCTCCCGCGTCCACTAAAATTCTAGGCAGTTCAATACCAGCTCTGAAATAGATTTAATTGAGAAAACTGTAAAAAAAAAATTCATTTATACATTAAATCAGCTTGAACAGCAAAGTCATCGGCTGAGTCGTTTGCACTCAGGCTTTTAAATTCATCACGATCTCTCTTGTCTATGAGACGCAGGCCAATCGTTTTAGTCAAACTGAGGTTCTCAACTCTCACTGCTAGTTTTTGACTTATCTCTTCTACTTTTGGCTCGTCCAGCGTAAGGTTAGCGAGAAATGAGTCAAAGTTTTTAAGCAATTGGTTCTTTTTGTTTTTCTTCTTGGCCTCTTGATAAAAAGTTCCGTCACTGGATACATATTCAGTGAAATTGCTCACTATTTCAGGAAGAGCAGACTGGTTTTTAAATGTCGGTAAAATTTCATTGAATTTCTCTATTTTTTCTTCCTTTTCAGCTGATTCGATCAGATATAAGTTATTTTCTTTATCATCAGATTGTGCTAGAAATGATTTGAGCACATTTTTCTTTTCTTTGATGTAGTTTAAGTAATCGCCACTGCAATTAATCTTAAGCTCTCCTGAGTTATTTTTAAATATTTGAGGGTTTTCTTGTAGGAAAGGCGGCAAATTTATATTGGGATCATATTTTGCGTTAGGCAAACAGCAAACATTTCTCCAAATGATAAAGGCATGTGATTGTAATTTTTCCCCTAAGTATTTTACTTTGGCCGGATGATGATTACAGGGTACGTCAGTCTCGTTGGAAGTGAAAAGAAAAGTATTCTTGTTCTCTGCAACTTGGCGAACAATCATATCATCGCAAACTTGTTTTTGAAGATCTTCTAATTTTTGCGCAGTTTTAAATTGAGCAATGAGAGTTATGAAATTATTCGGCTGCGTGTAAATGATTTCGTTGCTGGATTTGGAGTATCCATAGATGCTTCCTATACATGAATAAATCCCATTCAAACCTAGAGTTTCAATCTTGTACTTGCACAGTTTTTCACCACCAGTCACAATGCAGTCACCTAGGCGATTTTTCTGAACTTCTAGGCTGTTTGAACGATTTATGCATTCGACGATGTAGCACTGGAAGTCATTATCGGACACTGTTATATATCTAGAGTGGATGGCTTCAAGTAAAATTGTCCCGTTTATATTTTCCAACTTCAGTAACCTTAACGCAGGTTGTATTGTGGTTGAAGTAGACCTACTTGTATTACAATAAATGTCGCAGCAGAGGAGCAGAATTCCAAAGATCACGTACAGACGCATGGTTGTAAGAAAACTGAGACCACAGTACAAGTGGTGGAAGAAAATTTAAATTGACTGACCGGAATGGAGCGAAAACCGCTATCATATGCGGACGGAAACTCTACTATAAATGATGAGGAATAAAATTGATGGCAATAAATTACAATAAAAAATTTCCCAATTAAAAAAATGTAAGAGCTTGCCTTCTGCAAGCTCATAAGGGCACAGGCCGATAAGACCCTAAAAAATAAATTAAAAAAAAATTTTTTTTATAAAATAAAAAATTCAAGAAATTAATAATCATTATTGTAATTGACGTTAGATTATAAAAATCAATTAAAAATTTCAAACCTTATAAAAAAAAACTTATTTGGATTGAATGACAATCGCCGGCAGAGCCAAAAAAAGAGGGACAAAGGCAATGTGCTAGGGGCCGATGGCAATCTTGTCTTCCTCGTTTTGAGAACTGTTAAAAATTACGAATCTGGTGGCACTTTGGCACATTCCGCGAGGTATATCTCCTGAGATCCATCATCGCGATTTATGCCGGGCTGTCTCATTAAATTCGCGCGCGGCACCCGAGATAAAATGCAAATGGATAATGAAAAATGCGCTCGCGCCACCGAGTTCCTGCGAAAATTTATTTTGCTCGTTAGTCGCCTGGCAGCAGAAGCTAGGAATGCCAAAAATGAAATAATAAATGAGAGATGAGACCTCCATTTTAATATTTAGCATCCATTGTGTGTGTGTCTGTGCGCAGCCGAGTAACAATGGGCGGCTAAATTTTGCCAATTTTTTCGCGTCGTGTATTCGGGTGTCATTTTAACAAGATAAACACACCGCTCGGGTGTCTCGTCTTTTGTTTTTTTCCCACAAGAGAAAGATGCGTGCGTGAAACCGCGAGAGAGATTGCGATCGCTCAAGTCGAAAAGGCACAATAGTTTTGAATATATTTATATACACGGCGCGCCGTGCCGCCGTTTATTATTATTATTTTTCCTCGGTGTGCTGCTTTGCGGCCGAATTATTTATAGGACCAGTGAGCAGCAGTTCGAGCGCCCTCCCTATCTGGCGAATAATTTTCCCTATGAAATATTAACGTGTCGGCTTTTCAACAAGTTGCGCGCCGAGAAGTGAGAAACTGAGAAATACATAATTCTTGTTTGCTGCTTTTTCTTCCAATTCACGCGCATTCAATTAGTCCTCTGCATTTTTTCCCGCCGACAATAATACAGTGAGTTTGTAAAATTATTTTTCCTTCGTGCCTACTGTTTACACGTTAAGAGATCTAGTATCAGTGTCACTGACACTAAAGACTCTTGTGCGTTCATGCACAATTAATTGATTCTTGTTTTAATTTGGTAAAAAGAAGGAAAAAAATTGTATTACCTAAAAAAATTAAGTGTAAAATATAAAAAACTGATTTTTTTTTATTTTAAATTTTGTAAATTTATCAAAGTTAGAAAAATGACACATTATTAACTCAATACTTTTACTGAATTATAATTGTGTGATATAAAATTAATAGAAGGAAATATAAAATTTAATGAGGATTTTTTTTTAAGATTATGCTTTTAAATTAATAAATACAAATTTGTAGTTTAATTTATTATATTATATATATTTTTTTAACTTCACCTTTTTTAATTGAGTGTGAATTGCAAAATTAACGAGCATTTTAAATAACTTTTTATAAAAACATTTATTTATGTTATAATATTATTCTATTACAGTTTATTGTCCGTGTGAGATGATGAGAGAGAACCGGATTCAAGAATACTAAAAGTCACAACGAAATATTAAGACGATCCGTGCTGATATTTAGGCAGGGTTATACAACCATTTAATTAAATTAAGAGCCAAATGGCATCACCAGCAGCTCGGACCGGCGAGGAGCAATAAAAGAGAAGCAAACACAAGTGAGTGAAAGAAACTCACATTTATACAGCATGTTGGCCGTCGGAATTAATTTGACGCCAAAACAAGTCCTTAACTATTTTACAGCTGGGTCGTCGAATTTAATATGGGCGGATGCTGGCATTGCTGGCTGTGCCGCCGCCGTGTGTGTAAAAACTTAATATTATATAAAACGGCCGTGTGTCTCTCTCCCTCTGGCTCGGCAGGCGGAATTAAGTCGTAATAAATATGCATAAAACTGCATGTGGCCGCGGCGCGTAGGGCATAAATTAAGGCCGCCGTGGCCATTGTTGTCGCACATGTGACGAAACTGGTCAAAACAAAGCAACACTCATTGCGGTAACAAATTTGTTTCGCAGACGAATTATTACCTTCAAGACAGAGGGGCCTAATAAAATCAGGATGTGTGCATGATTTAATAACATGGTTTTATTTACAAAGATTAAATAAAAGCTGTTGAAACTGGTTTCAATTAAATTTCATGTTTTAAGAGGAAACGAAAATTACTGAAAATTTTAAAATGCTATGCAATCAAAGTCTGCAGAAGTATTTAAAATTTCCAAATTTGGTTTCACTTTTAATTAGTTTTTGGTTTTAATAATTTCTGAAGGTGTTCTCTCAGAATAATTTTAGCTGATTTAGCCACGCCTTTTTTATTTTTTTTTTTATTATTTTTATTTTCAAGAAAATAAGGTCACGGAAGTCTCAACCTGCAGATATTTATTTATTTATAGTTCTAAACCATCCCGGGAACTTTTCTATCTTTAATTGACGTTTAATTATAAAAGGAAACTTGAACGTTTTGCTCCTTCTTAATTAAAAATCGTTTTCTCAATCAATCAGCTTTAATTAACAGTCTCCATATAAAATTCCTCTTGGAAGTTTCGAATTCCTCTATTTTTTTTTTTAGCTCAATGCTTCACTTGTGCGTTTAAAAGTAATCAAGGAAGTGTAAGAAAGGATCAAGAGTGAAGAAGTGGAGGCTGAGAGGATACAGGGCCATCAATAGCCGCGCATAACAAGGCATTAACGTCTGGATTAAGATCTAATGGCCGAGATAAGTAATAAATACCTCCGCATTGATCAAAAACACACACAAAATATGGCCGCGGTCTCGTCTCTCTCGAATCACGCGGCCGAAATGCACGCGTTCAAATATAAATCATATCGGAAACTTTCGGAATTACACGTTTACAAAACGGCCCGAGATAAATCAGCCGCGAGATTTGATAAATATTCATGTCAATAATAGTTTTTACACCTAACACGCGAGCCGTGGCAGAGAAAAGTAAGCCACGGAAGAAATGCCTTTCCTAAATCCGTATCGGGTTGCACACTTTAATATTTCCATGTTTATTTCTTTCTCTGGGCGTGCGATCACACTTCCAGATTAAATATTTATATTTCCAGCGCGTGGTGAAAAATAATGTTTCTGACTGCAGCGCTAAAGCGGTGATAAGCTCGTTTAGATTTCGACCTGATATCAAAAAGCAAAGCGAGTACACATTATACATATACAAAACCAGCCGGTGTGTTAATTGTAGGTGGAACAAAAAATAATGTTTGAATTCGTGAGCACCGAAACATACCGAAACATATTTACCTTTGAGGAAAGCTAATAAATAAATTAAAAAGAATTTGTAGCCGATGTGGCACTACACGAATGTGATACCAATCAAAAAGCCAACAACAAATTCCGAGAAAATAATTTCAACTCGGTGTGGAGTAAAATTTGAAAATTCTTATATCTGATGCTGACCGCGAAAAATATGGAGACTTTCGACCCTCGGGCAGAAATTCGAAAATTGCATTTTACGAGTTTGTGTGCGAGAAAATTGTCTTATCAGCGGCCAATTCCACTTTGAATTTACGACTTAAATTTTTCTATAAGAGTAAATTATAAGAAAGCAGATTGTGTTGGTGGAAAACAAAAGGTGGCCTGAGACGTGAAGTTATAATTTGTTGTTTGCACTGGAAGCGGCGCGAAGTGAAATGCCCGTGGCTGGTTTTCCTGCACTATTGACGGCGAGTCCTGTAATTAGCGGGCCCTGAGCCGCGCGCTTCTTTTTGATAAAGTGTCGGTCCAGCGTTTCAAGCGTTTGCGCCTCGCTCATATTCATTTACATGTATCCGCGAGAGAGAGATATGGTTAATATGTGTTTTGGGAGGCGGGCTGTAATTTCGGTGTCTCATTAATAATGACGCCACGCATTCTGCTGTGAGCCACGCAAAAGCAGGCAGGTGCTACGTTGGAATTTCGTTTCTCAATAATATAATGTCTGTGAACGGGACTGTGGACTGCACTTGAGTGAAGACACGATATTTTTAATTACAAACAATTTAAACCTCACACGAAAGCTATCCATTTATGTTGAAAAAGGTTTAATTGATAATTTTGAATGTGTAAAATGGGAGTTGGTATTTATTTTAATAATATTTTTTTTTTAAAATAAAAATAAAAACTAATTTGAAAATTATAAAAAAGCAGCCACTATAAATAATTCCTAAATGAATCATTTTTAAAATGAAATTAGTTGACCAAACTCAAGTTTAACCAGATACAAACTTTTAAACTCACTTACAGAGTCAATAATTTAATTGCATTATTGAGGAAACTGTAAATTAATCTGCCACTGAGATAAGCCATCTCACTTGCGTACAAATCACCATTTTCAACTCGTATACATTTACTGTGAGCCATGGAATGATCTAATTTAAATGCACTCCCAAACTAATTGTTCTGCTGTGTTTAGTGGGCCCTGCTTAATTCTTCGGAGCCACACACATTAGTTGGAGAGAACCGAAATTTGCATGCGGAGATGAAAATTGCCTTGACTGCTCTCGAAGTGACGGCGGCCATTGGTTCGTTCTCATTGTTCCGAAAAGACTAATTATTTACAAGCCTACCGCACTTATTCAGCCGAGCTGAAATTTCACACATGGCTGCATCGGCCAATCCGCCGACGAAAGCACCGGATGCGTGGCCAAATTGTTGTCTTTTCGACGCGCAGCAAAAACACACACACGGAGAGAACAAGTTCACATGGCGAATATAATTAAAGGAAGTGCAATATTATTATATTGCCACTCTC